ACGGGAATGTAATGCATTCATAAACCAATGAATCAATACAAAGTCAAAATGTCATATCACGGATCATCCTAGAGCATTACAACCAACAGTTGGAACTGGAATACGCATCAGCTCTACATGGAGATTCTGAATCTCCTGCGTTCTAGCCCCTAGCAGCGCCCATCTTCCATCCCGAGTTGCGTCGATTACCTTCGCTTGGATTGGTAATCTCAATAGTCTCGGTCCTTGATTTCCAATGTACTCAATGAGGGGTCCCAATTCGGTCCAATGATCATGCCAGAAGCTTGTTTTTTGTCTGTTGCCTATGTTGCACCGAACAAACCCTCTCGCCACTTCTTTCATCTTGATTAATTTTCTGACATTCCAGGATATGTTTGCAGATGGCTTTGCAGTCCAGTATGTTTCCCGTTTCAGAATATTTACCTTCAGCCAAGCAACCCACAACGAGCTCGAGTCCCTGAAAAAAGCCCAAATCATCTTCAGCCTATAAATTTTGTTCAAGTCCTCCAGCCTTTTGATTCCAAGTCCCCATTCACACTTGGGTCTACAGATATTAGCCCAAGAAATTTTTGCTCTCCGTGTACTCGATGTTCCATTCCTCCACAAAAACGCTGAGCAAAGGCTGTCAATTGTTTTTAAGACTTTCTTTGGCAGTAAAAAGATTTGACTCCAACTGTTTACCATGCTGTAAATGACTGATGAGACCAGTTGCACTTTGCCCGCGTATGACAGTAGTCGTGTTGACCATGCGCTGATTTTCCTCCGGATCTTCTCTAATAATGGCTCGTAATCTGTCGGTTTCAATCGTCTTGGGCTCACTGGCAACCCAAGGTAACGCATTGGAAAATTTCCTTTAGGTACACCAAGTGTTGCCGCCAAATTCTGGTTTTCCAATTCTGCTCCTCCTCCGAAGAATATTTCGGACTTGCCAGCATTAATGATCAACCCAGATCTGGATCCAAACCAAGTCAGACAGCTTCTTATAGAGTCTAGAGACGTCCTAGATGCCTCACTGAAGATCACTAGGTCATCTGCAAAAATTAAGTGTGTGGTTAGAGGGTCAGAGCACTTTGAATGTAGCCTGATGTTCCCCAATGATGCCTCCTTGTCCAGTTTCCGTGAAAGAACCTCCATTACAATGATGAATAGGTACGGGGAAAGAGGATCTCCTTGGCGGAGTCCTCTTTTCCCCTTAAAGTGGCATGTGAGTTCACCGTTAATATTGACGGAGAATGAGGTTGTCGTGATACATTCTCTGATCCACTGAATGTAAGTGTCTGGCAGATTCATAGCCTTCATAACCTGAGTGAGGAAGTCCCATCTGATTGAGTTGAAAGCCTTCCTTATATCGAGCTTTATCATGACATTGTTTTTGCCTCTAACAGTCCCATATTCCTTTACCAATTCAGAAGCCAGAAGTACATTCTCCAACATAAGTCTTCCTGATTGAAATGCTGTCTGGTTCCCCGAGATGCATTCACTGAGCAGTGGCTTCAGTCTCTGTGCTAATATTTTTTATATCACCTTATATACCGTTGTGCAACAGCTTATGGGTCTGAAATCTACTAACTTTTCTGCACGCGTCTTCTTCGGAATCAATGTTATAGATGTTGTGTTGAACCCCCTGCAAAGCTTGCCGGTTCTGAAAAAATCTGAAACTGCCCGTATTAGCGCCGGGCCTGTGATCTCCCAAGAAGCAGAGAAAAATTCTTTGGAGAAACCGTCTGCTCCTGGACTTTTGTTCTAGGGAAGGGATTTAAAGGCTGCCACAATTTCCGCTGCTGATACCTCAGCGGTCAGATTTTTGCCTGAATCCTCTGAGCATGTGTAGGAGAGTAAACTGCGCAACTCCTCTGTTTGAGTGTCTTCCCCAATTGTTCCAGCACCCCCGTACAAGTTGGTGTAAAAATCGATGACATGATTCCTAATCTCGTCCCTGGTTTGGATGCGATTTCCTTCCGAATTGATCAGATCATGAATCTGGTTGACCGACAATCTGCCTTTTATCGATCTATGAAAGAACCCTGAGTTCTTGTCTCCTAGCTTAAGCCATTGAACCCTCGACTTTTGGCGGAGAAAACTTTCTTCAGCAAGCAACATCGTATTCCAGTCTTTCCTGGCTTTATGTTCAGCCTGCACCAAATCCGGTGTTGGCATCTGCAGTAGCTGTTCTTGGATTACTGCTAATTTGTCGCTCAACTCCTTTACTCTTTTCGAAATCTGGCTGAAATATTTCTGATTCAACACCCTTAGCGGTTTTTTGAGGCGTTTTAAAGCGATTTTCAGTCTGTCCTGCAGATTTCCCTCGACTGTCTCATACTCCCAGTTTTCCTGCACAATCGGTAAGAAATTTGGATGAAGAGCAGTGTGGGGAAAGAACTTGAATGATTTTCGAACCTGGCCATCATTCTCCGGAAAGTAGACGATGCTTGGTGCATGATCAGATGGACCAGGGAGCTTGAATTCTGTATATGTCGACGGGAATCCATGCTTCATTAATAAGGACCCTGTCCAGTTTAACAGCTAGCGGGTCAAGCTGGTGGTTATTCCACCAGGTGAAGTGCAAGCCTCGGTAAGCCATATCTGTAATACTTGTTGAATCAATGCACTGTCTGAAATCCTCGATTCCTTGTAATGAGGTTGGCATCATGCGATCAGATCTATCGTTAATATGCAGGTGCTGATTGAAGTCGCCAAGGATTGCCCAAGCATGTTCTTTAATCATTTGATGTCTGCTCAGCTGGCGGAGCTCCTCCCATAGCTCCTTTCTCTCTATAACCGAGTTCTTTGCATAGACAAAAGTCATTGCTAGAGTCAGTTGCTGATTTGGAATGCATATTCCGCAAGTAATAGCCTGATTTGTAACCTTGTAAATGTGAACAATTATTGATGCATCCCAAATAACCCAAATCCGACCGGATGGATCTGCTCCATGATTACAAAAAAATCTCCATCCCACGGGAATTGCAGAGAGTATTCTTTCCACATTTTGAGGCCTGATGTGCGATTCTAGCAGGCCCCCGACCAAACAGGTTTGGTCCAAAATCCACCGCTTTACACAGCGACGTTTGTTTGAATCATTCAACCCTCTCGTATTCCAACAAAAAATCATGGAGCTAAGGTTTTTAGTTGCGTCTCTTATTCACGGTTTTGCCACCGCGATTAGTTTTCTTCCCCGGTTGAACTCCCCCTGGATCTTCCACTCGAACATTAACATGTTCATGTGCAGGCAAAGTGGGTGTAACCTGGTTTACAACACTAATAAGTTGCTTGGGCTGTAAACATGGTAACAGAGCAGGCTTGGTGGGTTGGCTGTCCTTTCCCTGCGGATCCAGGACATTAGTTGAACCTTGGTTCGTCTGCGGCTGGACCTTTGTCCCTTTCTCTGAAGTGCTTGCCTCCTTCTGGTTAGCTGATACTGACTGAGTCACAGAGCTAGTTGTCATATTTTGACGAAGTTGAGCAGTTGGCTTTGTTTTTTCCTTGCCTTCTAATTGAGTTGTTTTTTCTGTTTCAGCATCCTTTTGAGGCGTGGCCTTCATGCCCATCGGCGCAACACCCTTCTGCTTCCATTCTTGGGTTTGATTCTCCGGTCGAGTGCTTTCAGCCGAAGATGTAGGGATCGGGCAGTGCCTCACATTATGCCCCACCTCTCGGCAGTTGGGACAGCTAGGGGGCAACCATTCATAGGAGACCCGGATCATTCGTTCCTCTTCCCCCGGAAGGGTAATCGCAATTTCCTTGGGTGGAGATCTGATCAGGCATACCTCGGTGTAGACTCTCGCATAGTTGAAGGATTCCTTACCCTCCGTCAGAGGATGGAGGTAGATGTTAGTTATTTTAGAGTAGATTGGTGGACTTTAAAATCTCTCAAAGGATTCTTGTTTCACGTGTATTACAAGTGTGGTGGAGGAGTAAAATGCTTGTAAAAGACGTGTCGTGAATTGGTTAAGTGTTAAGGATTAGTCGGAAGATATTGAAGGTGGCTCGTTTGGCTCGTTTTTTCCGATAAAACAAAACTGGAAAAAATGAGCGACCGCTCAAAAAATGAGCGACCGCTCGGAAAATGAGCGACCGCTCAGGAAAATGAGCGGGTAGCTCATTTTCTCTGATGAACAAAACTGGGGAAAATGAGCGACCGCTCGGAAAATGAGTGACCGCTTGGAAAATGAGCGACCGGTCAGGAAAATGAGCGGGTAGCTCATTTTCTCTGATGAACAAAACTGGGGAAAATGAGCGACC